GAAACACTGATATAACATGTTAACAAGAACATGTACACGTGAGCTAAAACATGTTCCTCTTGAATTGTTAATTCCACTGAATATTTATTCCTATTGTATATTTAATAATACACCAGGTTTGAGAAATCTAAATGATAAAGACAGCAGAGACGTCTGGTAATATTATATAACCAAAGCATGGTGACAATAAATGGGTGATCATCAGCGTGACAAAAACTCAAGGGCGTAGAATAAATTAGAGGCTTAAAACTCATTAATAAAACACCTCATTCACTTAATTTAGAGGAGATGAGGCCATTAACCCCCACACAGCATGCCAGACATGTGTAAGCCTCAGACACACAACACACAGGAGAAACACAAGCTGTCATCTGCAGCCATGTTAACGACAGGCTCAAAGTCAATAACGGGGTGTTGGAAATTACCACCAGCTCCAGAACACTACTCAGTGTAGAGTGACAGCTTTTACAGCATCTCGAGGTGTCTCGTTGGTCCCCGCTCAAATAAAGCCTGAAATAACAAACACACTGAGCTGTCAGTGTTAAAGTTAATCAGAATTTAATGAACTCACTGTCATCTCTGGTTGCTAAGAGGATTTAGGATTATTGAGGAGAGAGGTGCAACAGAACAGGAGTAAATTACCTTGCAGGTAGAATGACAGCTGGGGTTTAATAAAGTGAAGGCCGGGGGGGGGGGGTGATGTATCATTGTCACTTTGCACATCCAGATTAATTCAATAATGTTACAACAGGGATGTGTCTAAGTAGTCTTTACACTGAGAAGTGGGGTAACAGTGTAATCACTGTTGTGCCTTTGGAAATTGAATTAAAGGAATAGATATAAACCAACAGTCAGCTGCATCTCTAAAACTCTCTAATTGATATCTTATATCACACCTGCGAAAACCAAAGTGTAAAAACGTCAATTATGGGTGTGTTTGTTAATGCAATCTGATGCTCTACACTAAAAGGAGAGCCCTGTTGTTCGAGGAAATGGAGCGTTCTGTTTTTACATGAATTAATGAACGGTTAAGCTCATCACACATTCACTCCCTTTGACGCTCTGCTGCTCCGTCTCCCCAGGCAGGGTGCCCAGAGTGCACTTTGCTACTCCAAGAGCTCAACGGTGCATTCCAGCAGCGCTCCGAATTTACCAATGGTCTGCTTTGTGCCAGAGTGCGCTTCGGACTTGGAGTGAGAGCCTGTCCCATTATGCGTGCTTGATCACACTTACGCACTTGGACACTTGACCTGCGCATCCATGTGCTTAGTGTAAGTGCGCAAGTCTATCCCATTTCTACGATGACCAAAAGTGCAGTGCGCTTGATTTGTACTTTACCCACACTTACGGTAAGACCGCACCTGAGCGGTATTTGGCCTAGTATAAATCCCACAATGCATCACCAGCTGGTGGAGTTCCGCCAATAAACTAAACTAATTAACTAGTATAATCGTCATCGGCGGGCAATGCATCTTGGGATAGGCTGTGCCAAGAGGGATTCATCCGTTGCATCCTCCAAATTCTGGCAAAGAAGGCTGCATTTCTCGGCCTGGGACAGCCTTGGTTGCACCGATGTGACGCAATCAAATGCAGCCCCTGAACTGAGACACAGCTTTGGACAAAAGTTGCATTGTTTGCACTTTCGCTTTCGAACAGCAATGTTCAAACATTGAAATAAGCTTCTGAAGATCTGAAATAAACAGTATACTTCACTACACACTAAAATAAACAGCAGCTTGGGTCTCAGGAGGTTAATGAACAGACAGGAGAGTGGTATCAATCTTCTCGTCTAACTATCACTTAGATGAGAAAACAAGTGCATAATTAATCAGTGAAAGCAGAATTTAAGTGCCTTTCACAGGTAGCATCCTCTAATTCCTGAATAGCTTCATAATATTTTCATTGTAGGTTGATTAGCTCTCTGCAGAGCTCCATAATAACCCACAGGCATATTGACCTCATTGGGGATCCAGCAGTAGCAATCTGTCTCACATTTAACATTATGAAAAACAAAAGCAGCTTGATTAAAATGTCATACTTCGCCTAGACTTGACAAGCATTCAGATGTGGTCGTGTGCTGCAGGCTGTGGCTAAAACTTCATTTTAATCCATAAAAAACACATTTTGACTACAGTTTTCTCATGAATAATGGATGTCAGCTTTAATAGCATTTTAATCACAAGTAAAATAACTGGATTCTGTTTGTTGCTTCTTGCACATTTCATTTGGGGTCTTCCTGCTGTGGGTTATGACGCACAAGATAGATTCTTTTATATTTTTTTGACATAGCAAACATTGAATATCATATATTTCTTTGTTGGCATAACCTCTCAACAGTTGAGACATCTATAATCATCATCCTCTGTACTAATGGATCCATGCTCTATCTGCTATTTTTATGAACCACCCTATCCTCTATTCTCTTTGAACTACCTGTCTCTTCTTTGACCAATTATCCACCATCACCATCACTGAAATCCTTTGATCACCTGTTTTTGGATAGTAACTCAAAGCTACTGAGAGGCAAGTTGACTCAGGGATACACTTATCTGTCCTTTCAGGTTTAACTTTTGTATCTGTTTATCAAAACTTTTTAGAATAATTTGAAACTTAAATTTCAGCAAACATTTGTGCACAGTGTGTTCTGTAAACATACTCAGGAAGATAGTTTCTTAGTGAATTGAATTTGAAAGCTCAAGGACTCTGGGGCTTTACTCCTGCGGACAGCTTCCTTTAAAGTCATTAGGACTGATTAAACCAGAAGTTTGCCATTACAAAATGAGCTGGTAGCTGATGCGAGGGGTCTGAATTATTCACAAAACATCGCAAATGATGCTCTGCCCAGCTCATGAGGCACCTCCTGCTGCGATTGCAACACACCTGGAGTTATGGAATAATTTCAGCTGTTCGTTCACATTCTGCAAATGTTGCTCGAATGGCAGGAGATCAATGGTTGAAGCGTGCTCTGTACAAACACAAACTCAACACATTTAAATAATTTCTTGGCACTCTACTTGTGTCCTTGTAGTGTTGTCTCTTATGTCTTCAAAGGGTACATCTCCATTGCAAATGTCTGGATGATTTCCAGATTGTTGTACGTGCTGTTCCAGTGGTTCAGAGACAAAAAGACAACATTGACCTCACTGCACTTTTTATTTGTGTGTATAAATATGATGATTTATTGATTCATATTTGCAGACCAGTGTACCAGGGATATTTCCGAGTTTGAGGGGGTTCAGCGTTGTTCAGATTGTGTCTTTTGCTCCTTCACAGAGACTTGAAGAGTCACAAAACAACCATGAACACAGAAACATATTTTCCTTGAGGGGTGCTGCCATAAACGTGCGCACATAACTATGTATGTGCATGCACTTAGGTGAGATGGCTGCCAGCAGGAGCCCACAGCAGACAACTGTTCGAGAGCAGCAAACAACAAAACCTGGTGTTTTTTAATGAGATATCTGTAGTATTTCCAGCCATGATTGTGCCAACAAAAGAGGTATTTTAAGCCAAAACAAAAACTTTTTCGAATCATAACCAAGTGGGATTTTTTTGTGCCTAAACATAGCCATGTTAGCCACAGTATTGTTGAAATGTAAGGAAGTTTCAACATATCCTATACGTATTAACGTATAAATGTTACATATCCGTCATTTCCAGAAACATAAAATTCATGTTTATTCTGGCAATTGGGTTGAGGACCTTCAGGAAAATTACTCAGACGTAGGCTACTTACATCGGTGGGTCCGTTACGCCAAAAAAATGTGCACTCCCTCACCACAAACACAACTTCTCTGTGGACTATATGTGACAAAATTTCTAATATTTCCTTTGGAATGATGTTGCTATGAACCTCCATCCCAATGCATATGTCCCTGCAGTGGAAGTCCCTCATGCCCAAGATATTTTATGGATCTAAAAAGCAGCTCCAAAACTTTCCTGGCAATGTTCCGATCTTTCTCAACCTGTTCACCCTGTCCGCACTATTAATCAGCTCTCACTACTGCAAATGTCCCCAAGTTTAGCTGACCCATAAGCTGACCTTGATTCTTGCACTTTGAGCTGACGTGATGACATTGTCATGTCAGATTGAAGGTATTAATAAAAGTCCTGCATTTTAAATCTCTTTTTATATTCTATTTTCTGACAGGCACTTCATCATATAATCGTGTTCAAAATTTAAAACAAAGGTTCAAATACCCCATGAGTGATGGTAAAATAGCCCACTGTTTACAGACTTTGTTGTTCCACCCCTTGTCAATAGGGGGTGCTGTAGTACCCTCCGTACCCACCTTCCGCACCCACAAATATGACTACAAAGACAATCTACATGACTACGAAGAGAAATTACTACAAAGACATTTAAAAATGACTACAGAGTGACTCAAAGTGACTGACTACAAAGACACACAGAACAACTGCAAATAGACTCAAAATAAATGCAGAAAGACACAAAATTGCTACAAAGACACTCAAAATATATTCGAAAACACTACAAGGAGACACAAAATGACAACAAAGACTCGAAATTGCTACAAAGAGACACAAAAGGACTACAGAGATCCAAAAAGGTGACAAGAGACTCTAAATAAATACAGAGAGACACAAAATGACTTTAAAAACACTCAAAAGCCCACGGAGATACTCAAAACAACCACAAAGAGACACAAAATAACTTCAAAGAGACTCAAAACAGCTACAAAGGGACACAAAATGACATCAAAGAGATCCAATGAGATGACAAGAAGCTCAAAATAAATACAAAGAGACACATAAATAACTACAGAAAGACTTCATAATCACAAATATACAACAAAGACGTACAAGACAACCACAAAGACACTTAAAATGACTTTAAATGAGACACAAAATAACTACAAAGAGACACTCAAAACAGCCACAGATGATGCAGTCACCATTTTGTAGGGGGAAGTTTTACATGTCTTTGCCTAGGGACCCGTTGTCTCATAATAAATGTATGCTTTCTTTGCAGATACACCAAAATGAAGACAGCCACCAACATCTACATCTTCAACCTGGCTCTGGCCGACTCCTTGGTCACCAGCACGCTGCCATTCCAGAGCGTCAACTACCTGATGGGGACTTGGCCGTTTGGAGACATACTGTGCAAGATGGTGATGTCCATCGACTACTACAACATGTTCACCTCCATCTTCACGCTCACCACCATGAGCATCGACCGCTACGTCGCTGTGTGCCACCCAGTCAAAGCGCTGGACTTCAGGACACCGCGTAACGCCAAGATTGTCAACGTCTGCAACTGGATCCTCTCCTCGGCCATCGGGCTGCCTGTCATGTTCATGGCCTCCACCGCTGTAACCGTTAGAGAAAGTAATAAGTGCAAAAAGTAGCAACCATTCATGACTGCGCTTTTTTAGCAGACAAAGTCTCGCAATACAAGCACAAAACAGGAGTAAAACACATTCAGTTCATTCTCTGCGTTCCAGCCTTAAGAGCAATATACTCAGGCAGGATCTATAAAAGGAGACAATCCAAGAGAGTTGTTTAGGTTCCTTTGTGTAATGGCACAAAAGAAACATGTAATGCTATATGCCTGGCTGGTAACTAATATAACCATCTACATAGTCAAGAGGCTACCTGCAGTCAGGCTTCTCTGATGGTGTCTCTGCGTAATTGCAGAGGAAATGGAGGGAAAACTGCCACTGAAAATGCTAATGTGTGATCCTGCTCTGTTTTGAAGAGAGAGCATAATGAGGGATTTACTGACTCAGTGAAGTTGTAACTCTGTGTGGTGCTTAAAGATGTTGTTGCTTTAGTGCCATAGGGCACATGACAGTGGTGTTTTTAATGGCATTTCTGCCTTTATGAGAGATTTTGGCAAAGAGGTGATGGAATATTGGGATGAAATTAAATAAATGGTCAGACTCCAAGCAGGAATGTTATGCTTTATGGTCAAAGTTTTACAGATCAGTGTGGAGGATTCAGGAGGATATATCAGCAGAAATGGAATATAATATAATAAGTATGTTTTCACTGGTGTAAAATCACCTGAAATCTTACCTTACCTTACCTTACCTTACCTTACTTTACCTTACTTTACCTTAGAATGAGCCGTTTGTGTCTACGTAGGGACCGGGTCTCTGTCCTAAGAGTCTGCCATGTTGCACCGTCATGTTTCTACAGAAGCCCAGAACGAACAAACCAAGCACTGGCTCTAGAGAGGGCCATTTGTGTTTTCACATTGGCCACCCTAAATCAAAGCCCCTCTGCGACGAGTAGCATCGGAAAAAGGATTTCAATGTGAAACCTCTTGATTCAGTGTATTAAGTGGTTCAAATCAAAGAAAGAGACCTCTAGGGATAACTGACCATTCGCTAAGTCCTGTCCTCCGACACAGACTGGCCAATCATAACGTAGCATCAGGCCAGCTCAGACCAGGTTCCGACAATAACACAGCTGTGCTCCATTGACTCTAATGCAGTTGTTTCAGATTTTCTTTATTTTCAGTTGTGTATTAATGATACTCGTTCCCTGGAGAGGTTGGAAAAAGATAAACGTTTCTTCCCTCGTTCCAAAACCAAAATCAAACCCTGAAAAGTGTAGGGTTAGCTAGCTAG